CTCACACACACACACACACACACACACACACACACACACACACAGAAGCTTTAAAAACAACTGATACAAGGCCGTCTATTTAAAAAGTTATTCTCCTCTTATAAAGCTTTCTGCATAAAGACTGCACATTAAAAAATATATAGAATACGATTCTTAAAACCTTTGTCTCTACACAGGAAGAAAATGAACATCTGATTATAGTGATGAGCTAAATACAGACTGAGAGCGTTCGTTCTTCGTTCTCTCTGACAGGGTTAGAGGTCGGTCACTTTGTTCTCCAGCGCTGCGGCGATCTGCTGCAGTCTCAGTGTTAACTGTTTACTCTGGGCAGCAGGATCTTCATCCAGAGACATGATGATCTACAGAAACAGACGGACCATGAGCTTTCAGTACACACACATTATACACACTATCTATCTATCTATCTATCTATCTATCTGTCTGTATCTATCTATCTATCTGTCTGTCTGTCTCTATCTATATATATGTCTGTATCTATCTATCTATCTATCTACAGTGGGTACAGAAAGTATTCAGACTTTTAGCAAATGGCTGCAATATAACAAAGAGTGAAAAATTGAAGGGGGTCTGAATACTTTCCATACCCACTGTATCTATCTATCTATCTATCTATCTATCTATCTATCAATCTGTCTGTATCTGTCTGTGTCTGTCTGTGTCTGTCTGTCTGTCTATCTATCTGTCTGTATCTGTCTGTCTGTCTATCTATCTATCTGTATCTATCTATCTATCTGTATCTGTATCTGTCTGTCTGTATCTATCTATATATCTATCTGTCTGTCTGTATCTATCTATATATCTGTCTGTCTGTCTGTATCTATCTATATATCTGTCTGTCTCTGTCTGTCTGTCTGTCTGTCTGTCTGTCTGTCTCTTTATTTGATGCTCCACCCGTTCATTTTCAATCATCTTTTAGCTTATTATTTAAAATGTCCTGCTGTGTGACAAATTAAATTAATTCCATATAGTGTCTCAATTAATGTAAAACAACATGCATATTAATTATACAAAATAATAATAAGTTTAAAATACTTGTATATGTCACTGCTGTCACTTCTTAATGTCAGTTACCCGTGTGTGTGTGTGTGTGTGTGTGTGTGTGTGCGCGCACTCACCCCATCGTAGTATTTGCTGGCGTACCGGTAGAGCTGATGAAGAGCCACTTGTGTGTTCAGTTTATCTGTGTGTGCCTGAAAAACAAACCTAAATCAACACCAGACTGTTCATTTTCCCTAAAATCACAGAAAGCCCATCACGCGCTCACCCGTGACACTTCAGCCAGATGTGTGTTCATTTCCTGGTCACTGACTGACACCATCTGCCGGATTCCTTTATAGTACCTGTGGAGAAACACAACAGACATTTGATCCAAACTGCAGATTATTCTAGCTAAAAACACCTACTCTGAACAGGGTTGGCTGCTTTATATACTGGTCTGAAGGTCTCTACCGGTCTCTTATTTTATTTGAGGCTTGGGCAGGGCAAATTGCATTTAAATCTAAATAAACAAAAATAATGTTGTGTATCTAAGTATATCTTATTTACTTGCTAAAGTGTCTCAAACAAAACAATCATAAATAACTTAAAGATAAGTTTTGATTTGATGCCTTTAAACTTTAGCAGACTAGTTCTACCTCAGAAATGCTTAATGTATCCGCCTGGGAACATAAACACAACTTGTTTTCCCGGAGGACTGATAAAAACCTGTCGCTCTGACTCCCAGATATTGCATAAACCCAGTCAACGAGATCACGCTGAGAAAGTTCTCGGCATTTTTGTGCACAACATGTATCAGACAGTCTGTAAACCATCTGTGGGCGTTCGGCTGGAGGCTGAGACTGCGCAATACTGGAGCACTTACTCGTCTACCATCCTTTTGTAGGTGGAGATCTCCTTTGCATAGAGTAATTTGTTGCTGGGAGAATCCTGCAGGCAACAGAGAGAGAGAGCAAGCCGATAAATGATGAGTTTCTGGTGTTCGTATATAGCTGATTCTCAAACACTTACCCGACTGAGTTTGTGTTCTGTTTTTGTGCAGGCGTCCATGAAGGTCTGAGCGATGACGGACAGAGAGGCGTCCACGACCTCACTCACGTGCACGTCAAAAATGAAGTGAGGGTTCTTCAGTATGTTCACCCAGAAACGCAACGGCAAACTACAGAGAGAGGCGGGTTATTGTTATAGGGCTTTGTGAATATGTAAGAAATACTTCACTTATGATAGTCAAGGTTTCTTGCACCAAAACATAATTTAGTCATTTGGTTTCACACTCCAGCAGCCTTTGGAAAGTCATTTGCTTGTTCACAAAAAAAAAAAAAAAACATTATTAGACCATTTTCTAAGGCTGCACAAAATATTAAAACCATTTAAAAATCATAATAAAGCATAATTCTACTGTGGATTCACAAAGGCTGTGATTCACTTAAATAAATACATGCGCTGCGGGTTTAATATGTGCTTTATTTATTTGCGTGGAGGTTACAGCTCCATTCACAGTAAATGCTGCTCCACACAAACTGTTATCATTTATATGCGCGGACCGTCTCAAACGCCATCTTTACATATTGCTGTGAGTCTGAGTTGCTTATAACGTGCATCTGGGAACAATGTGCACCATTCTATCAGATTTATAAGGTAAATCATTTATAAAACCTATTCCAACACAAGAGAATACATCATTTTTCTAAATATGCTAACTGTTCATCGCGACTTCAAAATAAAAGTTTAAACCCTCGCTCTGAGTTTGCAAGAAATGACAGTGGCTGTAGCATTTCTATCATAAAGTAGCGGCCAGATATTAAAGATTAAGTGGACATTTGAATTAAATGTTGATTAGTCTAAATTAAACAAGGATTAGTTCGTGCTATAAAGTGTAAAAACAATGTAGCTATGATTATATTGTAGTTATGATTATATTGTATTTTACATTATGTTCAATAAAACGTATAAAATGATTACTTGCTTTTGATATTTTATTTGAACAAATTATTATTGCCTCATTGCTATTATATATGTATTTTAAGTAATTTTAAAGTCTATTGTTCGCTT